CCCGACAGCTGGCTGAGGGGTCCGCGCACCTCGCAGTTCCCCGGCTTTGATGTTTGCGCTGACCAGCGCCGCGCATCACCCCACCGCAGGCCGTTGCTGCACAACTGGCAGCGACGCACGCCGCTGCATCGGCCTCAACGGCTCCGCAGGTGCGCCGTGCGCGCACTCGCCTGTGAGAGAGCCGCGAACCTCGCGCTTGAGGCTTGGGGCTTGTGGCTGAACGCTCTGGCTGATGAGCCGTGCGCACTGCGCGTTATGTGTGCATCTTCCCCATGCCTGGTCACATGTGAACATCGGGCCCCCCTGCATCCCCGACCACACGAAATCACACCATTGCCTCTCGTCCCTGATCCCCCTCTCACAACTGCTGATCTTCCCTGACATTGCCACCTCGCAAACTTCCCACAACACACAAATGTGCATGCACAAGCATGCAGCCTGAACGCAACACACACTTGCGCACAACCACACACATGCCCGTGTGCTCGCACACGTGCGCATGTCTCAAGCACACGCATACAGTCGCACACTCTCTCACTCACACACACTCACACACTCGCACGCGCGCGCATGCGCACACACACACACACACACACACACACACACACACACACACCTCCCCTGCTCTGCCAGTCCCCGGCCCCCCAGGCCCAGTCCGCCGTTGCCGCCCTGATCGCCCAGAAGGCTGCTGCCCTGCAGGCCGCCCAGGCCGCCCACGCCGCCGCCGTCCAGCAGGTCCAGACCGCCATCGCCGCGCACGTCGCCCAGAAGCAGGCCGCCGTCGCCGCCTTGTACCAGCAGGTGTTGGCCGCGCACGCCGCGCTCGCCGCCGCCGTCGCACAGAAGCACTCTGGCGCCGTGGCCGCGGCGCCTGCCGCGTCCGGGCGCTGAGCACCTTGAAAATCTTGGCTTGACGCCCTACCCGTTCACATTGCGCTTTTTGAGGGCCGCTTTCATGAGGGTCCTGAAGGCAACAAACCGCACTTGCTGGGAGCTGCCCTTCCAGGCGGCGTGCCGCGCGCCCTGTGGCGGCGGCGCTTGTCGTTGCAGGCGAGAGCAGTGACGGTGTTATTGTGCGGACGACTATCGAGGGAGTCTGACTGTGTTTGTGTGTGTAAGTCGTCTGTAACCGTAAGACCACCATCAACTTGCGAGCGCTGCAAACCAAAGCTTGGGGTGGTACGGGACTCGAGCACAAGAACTTCAACAAGCATCGACAGCAGAGTGAGCCGGCCTTAGAGCACGGGATATGCAGGAGTCAGCAGCAAGGCACGACCCTGAGTTGAATTAGTTGACGCGATATGGAGTGCGGCACATTCGGCAACATGTCGTGTGGGCGCACCAGGGCCATCTAATGAGCAGGGTGCGTGCAGCCGAGTGCTTGCATGATGACTGCACCTGCTCGGTTTCCGCAGCACGCAGTGCCATGTCTTGATTTCACTGCAACCATAACTCAAACAAACAAATATATTGAATTTTATATGTCTACAGCAGTACAAGGTTGCAACGTTCGCGAGCACGGCCCAGTCTTCGCGGGTCAGCGCTGCCCGATAAAAGCCTTCAAGCGGCATCGCTTGACGCCAAGTGAGTCTTACAATCAAGTTATTTGCCTAAAACTTCAGCCTTAGTTCAAGTGCGCGACCTTGTAACTTGCTCTTCGCGATTGCAGGTCAGTTTCTGCTCGGATCGGTATCAGTGAGCTCCATCAAGCGCTGAGTGCGTCCCATATTGGTGCAAAATCCCCCTCACAGCGGCAGCACTCCAGTGCGCATCCCCGCAGCAAAGGCGCCAAGCACCGTGCGCGCCGCTGCGCCGCCGCAGCAGCATCAGCAGCAAGGATGTTCAAAAACAGCTATCAGAGTGGCTTCCTGTCAATCCTTTACTCCATCGGCAGCAAGCCGCTGCAGATATGGGACAAAGAAGGTGCGGCGCGCTTGCGTCGTGCACACCGCACAGGCGCAGCCATGCCGTTGTGACACCGACACCGCTCAACCCCCGCCCTGAGCCCAACTGCGCAACCCTTGCCGGGCCCCTCCTGCCCCCAGTCCGCAACGGCCACATCAAGCGTCTGACGGACCCTGACATCCAGTCCAGTGTGCTGGAGATCATGAGCTCGAACGTCAGCACCACCTACATCACCACGCCTGCGGACCCCGCGCAGACGCTGGGGATCAAGGTGCGGCCCGCGCGTGCGTATGTGCGCGCGCGCTTCTCCATCTGCTTGGCAGCTGCACGCGTTGCCGACGAGGAAGGAGGGCAAGGTCCCTGAGCAGCAAGAGCTGGCTCATGTGCTCCCACAAACACGTGTGCAAGTGCGTGCGTGCGTGCGTGCACGCGCGCGCGCACACACACACACAAACACACACACACACACACACACACACACACACACAAACACACACACACACACACACACACACACACACACACACACGCACACGCACGCACGTACGCACGCACACAC